AGGAAACTGCAAGGAGTTTATCTTTGTATTTGTTCACAAGTGCAAAACGTTTACTGCAGAACATTCCACTGATGCCAATAAGATAACAGAACTCCTGTAAACAGTATTTAACACTATAATTCATTATGGAATTTATTTGCACAATAAACAGGTCAAGATACATACTTATTACCACTCTTTGCTGTTTCCTGATGCTGCCTGTTCCATTTCTTAGTTTTCAGGAACAGGAGGAAAAGAAGAAAAGATTTTTGATTCTTCAGCAAGATATTTGGTCTCTCAGCTATGACAACCTTCCATAAAGTTAACAAAGACTGAAAGTGTTTCACTCTGTATCTATCAGTAGAACATTATTTTCCCACCACTTCAGAACCATCTAGGGACTGAAGGTGCTTCCTCCCTGTAGCCCTAGGAGGCTCTGCTGTAAAAGCAATGGTTAACCTTAACCTTGGAGTTTGAAAGACCTTCCACAGGCATTCTACCTAAGTATGAACTAGCAATACATTTTGGAAGTTGTCAGAAATCTCAACTGACATACTGAAATAAATATTAAGATTTCTTTTCACTTCCACCAAATACTAGCAATGTTCATGTTTCTGCATGAGTAAAAGCATCTGTATCAGGGAGAAGGAAAAGAGATCCAGATTCTGTCCAGGAGAGCACAGGTTGGCATTACTGGGGTTACTATTATTCAGGACAGGAAATAGAAGAGCAACGTTCATTTACAGAAGGGATAGACTAAGCAGTCCAGGATCAAAAGAAAAATGTTGCAGTGAGTGTATTTCTCCAGTGACAACCATCTCTCAAGAAATACCTAGCTATGGTGGAATGTCCAACAAAAGATATTAAAGACTTTCTACTGGCAATCTCAGCAAATTTTGATTTTAATCCTTTTCTCCAGGTAATACAAGAAAGTGCCAGCAGAACTTCAGGAGTGCATACTTAAATAGCATTTCCATCTCCAGCAGTACTATAAGACAGACAGACAGGTCTATTTTCCAATAAAAGTACAACTGCAGCTTTACCATGTAAACTGCCACCCAAAAATTTCTTAAAGTCCACTTCATTTATTGATGTAACAGTAAATTCTGCTAGAGAAATGTGGAATGGAAAAATAAGTTGTCTAAGAATTACAGTTTTAACCATGTTCCATGCTGCCGTTTTAATAATGTAGAATAGTATTAAGTAACAAACTGTTTATGCATTAAGTGAATAATCTATGCATCAAAAATTGTTATGATATATAGAACATGCTGTCTTCCTAATTCTTCTCTCCTGCACCTCTTCAGCTGGAGTAACAGTCACAGAAATAACTGTTCTAATCTGGGATAACAATGAATTACATTTTTCCCATTGATCTTCCAAATACAGGGCTCTTGCTCTGAAGAACTGAATCAACAACCACACAAGCTTGGAGAGACAGCAATGCATATTTCATTATCTCCCAAGTGTGATGTTTTTAAGAGCATTATAGGCGTGACAACAATAGACCAAAAAGAGAATGCACAGATTTGGGGTTGTCACTGTTCTCAACTCCAACATTGTTACTGCTGTTCTTTAGAGTGCTTTCTAGAAGGATGAGGGATGTGAAGGAAACTTGCTTGTAATTGTTATCCTCTTTACTGGAAAAGATAATGTGTGCTCTGAATTATCATTTAAACTCAGCTGATTTCATCCGACTTTTATTACAGTCTTAACTCTAACACACATGCATTGAATTCAGTAGCAGCTCACACTTTATTTTTACAGTTATAACAACTAACACGCTGAGATCACTGAAAACCTATTTGATGAAAATATTTTAACATTTCCAGCATCTCACAAGAGTATGCAGCATCCATACAGTTACCCTTGTCTAAACGCTGCAACTACACGCTTCTGGGGATTTTGGACTGTCAGATGCAGGGCTCTGGGCTAGTTCAGGGAACTCAGAAACAAAGCCGTGTTGCTAACCGTTTCCGAATGCGAGGCTGAAAACACGCCCGGAGGGATGTATGTGCCGCCGGCCGGGCGAGGGCGGCCGCTCCCA